AAAGCCAGAAGTGGCGCTGTGGCTCAAGTGGTAGAGTGCTAGCCTTGAGCTGAAGAGCTGAGGGACAGCACCCAGGCCCAGATTTCAGGCCCCATGATGAAAAAAGGAAGGAAGGAAGGAAGGAAGGAAGGCAGGAAGGAAGGAAGGAAGGAAGGAAGGAAGGAAGGAAGGAAGGAGCCGGGTGCCAGTGGCTCACGCCTGTAATTCTAACTACTCAGGAGGCTGAAATCTGAGGATCATGGTTCAAAACCAGCCCGGGCAGAAAAGTCTGTGAGGAAGTGGTGCTGTGGCTCAAGCGGTAGAGTGCTAGCCTTGAGCTGAAGAGCGCAGGGACAGTGCCCAAGCCCAGAGTTCAAGCCCCTCCACCGACAAAAGAAAAAAAAAAAGAAGAAGAAAGGGAAGGAGGAAGGGAAGAAGGGAGGAAGGAAAGGGAAGGAAAAAATATGAGGTTTGTGTATTTGTTCTCCTACTTCCTACCTGGAAGGCCTAGGGAAATAACTTCCTTCTTCGAGCCACAATGACAGCTGCAAAATGCCAAACAGAACAGGTGCCTTAACCCTTTATCACCCAGGACAGTCACTGGATATCCCTGGCCAAAATGATGCTTTTGGGGGCTTACCTTGTAGCGAAGAAGTAGGGAATGGAACCACGGTGGTGATCTACAGTGAGAAACACAGAGAAGGCTGCCTGGCAGATGAAAGAATGACTTAGTGGAGTTACTGAAAGAGCAACATGATGGAAAGTTAAGCGGGGTGCTTTGGCTCACACCTGTAATCCTAGCTGCTTAGGAAGCTGAGGTCTGAGGACTAAGGTTCAAAGCCAGCTGAGCAGAAAATTTAGTGTGACGCTGATCTCCAGTTAACCACCAAAAAGCCAGAAGTGAAGGTGGTATGGCTCAAATGGTAGAGTGCCAGTCTTGAGCCAAAAAATTTTTTAAAAAAGAACTGAAGGCCCTGAGTTCAAGTCCCAGGGACAGCAACCCACCTCACCATTCTTTTGTTGGTGGTGGTGGTGATTGTGGGGCTTGAACTCAGGGCCTGGGCGCTGTCCCTGAGCTTTTTCACTCAAGACGAGCACTCTACCACTTTGAGCCACGGTGCCAACTCTGATTTTCTGATGGTTTATTAGAGAAAAGAGTCTCACAGACTTTCCTGCTGGGACTGGCTTTGAACTGTGATCCTCAGATCTCAGCCTCCTGAGTAGCTAGGATTATAGATGTGAGCCACTAACACCCAGCTTCCAATACTTTTTTAATGAAAATAAAATAAAATCTCTGCTCTCTGGAGCAGACATCCTTGGGAGCATCCTGGGATGCACCAGGCAATGGCTTGATGTATTCTCTGTTCCAGGGCTCGTTCTGGACAGCACTGACAACTTCAGCTATGTCTTCTACATGTCAAGCTTCTTTCTCATCACCTCTGCCCTCTTCATGGGTGGCAGCTTCTATTCCCTACAGAAGAGGGAGAGAAAAGGCAAGCAAGACAACGCAAAGGGAGACACCTCAGAGACTGTTCCAGTGCCAGGTCTTATCCTGGAAGACAGACCCAAGAGGGAGCTGTGTACGGAGAGCATGTACGTGACCAGCGTGTGAGCCTGAGGCCAGCCCAAGACCTTCCAAGCAGTATCCTGGAGTGACCCTTCCTGGCTTCCTTCCACTGAGTCCTGCTGGGGGCAGCCAAGGCCAGCTCAGCCTGGCTGGCTCCACACTGCTGCTACTACAACACAGCACGTTGGATCTTCACGTCCAACTTGCATGCCTCCAACATCAGCTCTCCTTTGACCTTCTCTGGTCCGCTTCCAAAGTGACTGGTCATGACCCTGGAGGCAGCAAGTCTGCCTCCACACAAGTGATCGGACCTCACGTTCACTGGACGGAGGGCCAGGCTGAGGAGGCGGCCTGGATACAGAATGAGGACGGATGAAAGGGGTGTGGAGTTCCCCCACCCTGACACATGAGCAGACTGCGGGGAAGGGAGCCCGTGCTGCTGTCCTGGAGCAGGCCCCTAGCTTTGGTCTCTGAATTGGGGAGTCTGAGGGTCTCTCAGCAGGGTCTCCCCCAGTCTCCCCTTGTATCCAGTATAGGGTTGGGGGAAGTAGACATTCAAATGACCGGCAGAGGGAAAGACTTGCTCAGGTAGCTGAAAGACTGTCATGAAGCTGGGCACCATGACTCACGCCTGTAATCCTAGCTACTCAGGAGGCTGAGATCTGGGATCTTGGTTCAAAGCCAGCCCGGGCAGGAAAGTCCCCAAGACTGTTATCTCAAAAGAACCACCAGAAAACCAGAAGTGGCACTGTGGTTCAAGTGGTAGAGCACTCGCCTTGAGCTGAAGAGCTGAGGGACAGCACTTAGGCCCAGAGTTCAAGCCCCAAGACCACCAACAACAACAAAAAGCCAGAAGTAGAGCTGTGGCTCAAGTAGAATACAAGGCCCTGGGTTCAGGCCCCAATACCTATACACACAGGCGTGCACACACACATACACACACCACACATACACACACACACACAAAGACTGTTGCATAAGCAACAGAAGCCTTCCCAGATCCTGGCCTGACTTCCTGAGAACCCCTCTTCCTTGCTGTTACCATGTAATTGCTGAGGACTGGGAGTGGAGTTTGGTGGGAGAGGCTTGCCTGCCATGTACAAGGCTTTAGGTTCAATCCTCAGTACTCCCCTCCAAAATAAAATTTTATAATAAAACAAGTCAAATCAAAAAAGGAAAGAGTAAAGCCAGGTGCTGGTGGTTCACGCCCGTAATCTTAGCTACTTAGGAAGCAGAGACCTGAGGATCATGGTTCAAGGCCAGCCCAGGCAGAAAAGTCCATGAGACTCTTATCTCCAATGAGCCACCAGAAAGCCAGAAGTGGTGCTGTGGCTCAAAGTGAGAGTGTTAGCCTTGAGCAAAAGAGCTCAGGGACAACACCAGGGAAAAGTGACTGTCAACTGAGAACAGTAGCTGGCTGAGCCGCTGCTTGTCCTCTGCCCTTTTGGGGCCTGGGCTTGTGTTCTGGAGATCAGAGCTATTGACATACCTTGCGGGGGCCTCTCCCTGAGGACACCCAGAGCTGGCTGGCATCAGTCCAGACTTGTCTCAGCAGGGTATCCCAGGGACTAGAAAATGGCTTGTTTGAATTATACACACAAACCTTCCCTGCAGCAGGTCATAAACTCTGAACTCATCAAGCAGGGAAAACAGGACTTGTAGTAAATCTCTTCCCTCCCCTTTCCTTTCTCCCAGCTTGGCAGGAGCAGCTCAGGACCTTGTTTGCTGGTTCAGGCTCAACCAGACTCCAGCAAGAAAAGCTTATGACGAGAAATAGTATTATTTTCAAGACCTGATGACAGTCTTCCTCCTCCATCTGCTCACTGGAAAACAACCCTCCCTAGGGCTGTCTTTTAGGATGCTCTAGTGCCACCTTGTGGCCAGAGGCGATAGCGCAGCAGCAAAAGTCTCGCTCCTGGGATACCAAGATGTCAAACAACCTGCTGCAGTACTCTGGGCAAATTACTAACCATCATGGGCCTGGGAAGGTGGTTCGGTGGTACAGTGCTTGCTTTGTATGAATGAGGCCCTGGGTTCTACTCCTCAGCACCACATAAGCAGAAAAAGCCAGAAGTGGTGCTGTGGCTCAAGTAGTAGAGCACTAGCCTTGAGCTGAAGAGCTGAGGGGCAGCGCCCAGGCCCATAGATCAGGCCCCAGGACTGACCCATTCCCCAAACAACAACAACAACGCAAAAGCATGGGGCTGGGAAGGTGGCTCAGTGGTAGAGCGCTTGCCTTGCATGCCTGAGGCCCTGGGTTCGATTCCTCAGCACCACATAAGCAAAAAGAAAAAAGCTGGAAGTGGTGCTGTGGCTCAAGTGGTAGAGTGCTAGCCTTGAGCTGAAGAGCTGAGGGACAGTGCTCAGGCCTAGAGTTCAGGCCCCACAACTGGACCAAAAACAACAACAACAACAACGCAAAAGCAGATACAAAAGAGGAAGCTGAAGTGGTCCACCTGACCCACATTTGGCTGATTTCTTTTTTCTTTTTCTTCTTTTTTTGCTGGTCATGGGGCCTGAACTCTGGGTCTGGGCACTGTCCCCCAGCTCTTCAGCTCAAGGCTAGCACTCTAGCACTTGAGCCAGAGCACCACTTCTGGCTTTTTCTGGTTATGTGGTGCTGAGGAATCGAACCCAGGGCCTCATGCATGCAAGGCAAGCACTCTACCACTGAGCCATCTTCCCAGTCCCATGGCTGAGTATTCTTGAGAATACTCTAAGGAGGAATTCTAGAGGGGTGGCACTTACTCCCATCCTCCTCCCAATCCCTGTGCTCCTCATCCAAAAATCTTTTGCTGCTCTGCCTGCTGAGAGGTGAAGACACTGGGTGAGGCATTTTGAGCTGAGATGCCTTTCGCCAGGCTGCAGACTCCTCACTGAAACCAATGGTCTGGAGAGGTCACTGAGCAGCTGAGGGATTCAAGCACCCAGACTAAGCTCAAGACTCCTATCCCAGAAGATATGCATTCAGCAGGGACTGTATACAGGGATAGGAAACTTTATTTGGGGCCTGTGTCCAGCTGGAGTGTAGAGGCCACTATGCCTTAATCCAGACTCTCACACCTGGCCTAGAGCTAAAGGTACAAGATCACCACTTCTACACTTTTTGGGAGTACTGGGGTTTGAACTCAGGTCCTCGCACTTGTTAGGCAGGGGCTCTAGCCCACCCTCCACCTCTACATTAAGACGATGCCAGCATAAGGCCTCCTCCCTCTCTGGTGCTTTGTTCCCTACGACCATAAGATCTTCGTCACTGAGAAGTTGTGCAAAGCAATCAGGCCAAAGGGCTTCGGCCTCCAGGGCTCCACACCCCATACAGAGGCCCTCGCGGGAGGTCTGGGTGGACAGCGGCTGTTCCCAGGGACTGACCCCACGACATCTGGCTAGAACTGGCAGGTCCAGATACCTGCCAGGGTGCAGTGTCGGGTCGCCCAGCTTTTCAGGAAAAACCAGCCAAACCCTAGGGATAAAAGTCCGATGATGGGAGGCACGGAACCAACCTCCGAATTCCAGAGGGGAGCCGCATGGGCGAGACCACTCGATGACCCACCCCGCCGTGTGCGGGGCTGGAGGTGCTTCTACCCGCACGGCTTCCGTCAGGGCCCCCTCCCACTCCTCGACGCTCCTTATCGTCCCACAGATGCTCCCCGCGCCAGGGGACTCAACCTCGCTGACCTGCTTGGAAAGGGTCTGGGGTTTCTAGAAGCAAGTTGGCGCGCGCCTCTAGCAGCTGAGCGACAGCCCCTCACCTCCCTCCCCACCAATCCCGCCCCTTCCGCCCTCTAGGGGCGGGGCCAGCAGGACGTCGGTCATCTGGGGGTGTGGCCATCATGACTCCGCCCTCCACGGGCGTGGTTAAACGACAACCGTCGCCGGGGCGGGGCCATCACGGCTTCCGCCCTCCAGGGGGCGGGGCTAGCACAGCTTCCGCTTGCATCCTAGAAAGGAAACCCGGAGCCGAAGGCGGGGCGCTCCTTCGGGCTCCTCCTCCTCGGGCGGACGGCGACGTCGTGGGTCGGAATTTTGATCTGGAAGTCCGACTCTGACAGCATCCTCCGCCTTCCCTCACATCCCCATCCCCAGCCGCACAGGGCTGCAGGATCCGAGCCCAGGGCGGGAGCCCGCCCCCCGCCCCGGGGAGCTCAGGGGAGGGTGTCCCGGCCCCGGCGGGGCTCTGCGCGCCCCGACCATGGCCCAGAAGCCGAAGGTGGACCCCCACGTCGGGCGGCTGGGGTACCTGCAGGCGCTGGTCACGGAGTTCCAGGAGACGCAGAGCCGAGGTGAGCGGGGCGGGCGC